AAGTGGGCAGGGACCGCGGGCGCAGCTCCCTGCCACTGTTCAGACCTAGAAGGTCCCCAAGGCCCCTGCTTTGGGAGGTGGTGGGGCACGGATGGGCGCTGTGCTCCTCACTGCAGAGTGCAGGCAGACCGTGTAGGAGGCAGGGCCTGCCTGGAGGTCGCTGGGGTGCGACCTGGAAGGTGGCTCCAGTCCCCAGCTGCTCCTGCAAGTGCCTCCTGGCGGTGTGGGGTGAACAGCTCGCTCACTCCTGCCCAGACTTGCAGCTCTGGGCCAGACACTCGAAGCTGAGCTCAAGGAAACCTCTCCTCCTAGGTGTGGGTCCCGCGTATGTTGTCGGGAGATGGGCCTGCTCACTAAGCCACCCTGCCCTGGCCTGACACAACCTCCCCATCCCCACGGGAAAGGACTCTGGTGGCAGCATGGTGGGGATGCCTGCTCCCCCCAGCACCTGAAATCTCAGTGTGGAGCCAGCAGAGGGTGTGAGTGGTCAGAGCCATCCCGGGGCCAGGAGGAGCAGGATGGGAGCCCCAGAGGAAGCAGGGAAAGAGGCCACAGGGAGGACGGGCAATGGGGACAGCACCGGGGGCACTTCCCAGAGAGCGGGGGGACAGAGAAGGGGGCAGCAACTGGCCCTCTGTAGGTGCTGGGGCTGAAGGCCACAGTGAGGTGCCCCAGGGTCCCCACTACCAGGCCCCTGGGTGGAGGGGAGCCCGTCACCTCCATGACTGGGGTTTGTTGCTTGTCTGAGAGCAGCACAAAAACCCACCACAGCACGCACGGAGGCCCAAGCAGGAAGTCTGTCTGCCCAGACAGTTTATTACGGGTCAGCGCCCGTCGCTGGGGGAGGAGGAGGAGGAGGAGGAGGAGGAGGGACAGGACAGAGGACAGGAGGTCGAGCGGCTGCACAGCTCAGACGTGCAGAAGGCAGGAGGGAGGTCAAGGTGGCAACAGGCAGCCAAGGCGCATACCTGCTTCCTGGCCCCGAGGGAGGAGCCCAAGGTCCCACTTACCCCCCTATGACTGAGTAAGACCCTGCCTCAACAGAAAAGATAAAGATGGGCTGGGAGATGTAGCTCAGTGGCAGAGCACCTGTGGGTTTGATCTCCAGACCCTCACAAAGAAAACCCTGCAGGTACTGCTTGGGACTCACGGGACAACTACACAAAAAACAGAATTAACCTGGCTACTGCGTGTGAGTGCAAATCCAAGTCCTTCGTCTCCTCCTCTCTCCTCTCCTTATAACTCTGACCAAGTTTGAGGAAGTTCTTTTCTACCTCAGAGAGAGCTTTTTAAAAGAAAATCAGAACTGGACATTGGATACTGGCAAGAGTCTCTACGTGGCTGCTGAGGTGAGCCGTGAGCTTTACTCTTCTGTTTGCTGGCTGGGGGATGCGATGGCTTCGGGGCAGCCCACCCTGCACTTAGGACCGGCCTCCTCTGGGCCTCACAGCTGTTTCTGATATCCTGCTGTCTTTCTTCTAGTGTCTTTGTCTGATTTTGGGGCCAGGGACACTGGCTGCGTGGGATGGGTCAGGCAGTCCTCTGCCTTTCTCAGGTTCTGGCATGAATGCGAGTTACCTGTTTGTGAGACTCTGTGGGGAAGCCACCTGGGTCCAGAAGGGGGAGGTGGGAAGAGAGGAGGAGGAGAGGACAGGAAGAGACTGGCCGGATCCAGGCCTGTATGAGGCACTACACCCCAGTCCTTTGACTTGGGGACAGGTTCTTGCTCTTTGCTAAATTGCTTGGGCGGGACTTGACCTTGGGTCCTCCTGCCTCAGCCTCCCACAGTGCTGGCATCACAAGTGTGTGCCCAAGGTGCGTGTCCCACCCTGGCCAGGTCCTGCCTGATGCATTTTGGGGGTAGGATGCTAACGTGTGGCCCATAGTGGGCAGCCAGCAACGAAGCAGATCCAGGAGGTGCGAGGCCGCGCGGATGCCCAGCGGATGGCCCCAGCTTGGCCACTCCATGCATGACACCACCTGCTGGGAGGCCAGCACCCTGGGTGGTGGCCTGTGCTCCTGGGGGAGCCACATGGGGCCTGCTGCCATGGGCACAGCTCCAAGGGCCACAGCAGAGGCAGTTCAGTGGCTGCCAGCTCCTGGCTCTATGGAGGCCTCTTTCCACTCCTCTTGGACAGGAAAACAGGCCGTGCGAGGGTCCCTGCTCTAGCCTTAGATGCCCACGGAGGAGGCTGGAACATCTGAGGCTCATCTTATTTTCAGGCACAGGGAAGATAGGCGGCATCTGACAAGGACGGCCATCGCCAGGGGCAGTGAGAGCCCCGGCAGCTCGTCGGGAGCCTGCAGGACGAGCCTGCAGCCCGCCCCAAGTCACACACACAAGCCATTTTCAGAAGAAAAAGGAAGGGAAGGCACATCTGGCTCCCGGGAGTCCCGGAGCAGAGGGGATTAGGACCCTGATGCCCCACAAGCAGGGAGGCCAGAGGCACCAAGAGCCGACACCCGACAGGTGGCTGGACCCAGGTGCCCTGTTATGCCAGGAGCCCCCAGAGAGCTGCCCCCCACTCCCCGGTAGGTAAGAAAAGAGAGGCAGACGGGCACACATCAGCTGGTTGTTGGAGAACTCAGAGCTTGGGTTTGCAGAGGACGGGAAAGACTGCAGGATGCCACACAGGACACTGAGCCAGCCTGCAGACCCCAGGAGGCTTTCGGAGGACTCAGGCTCACCCCAGGAGGCTTTCGGAGGACTCAGGCTCACATGGGCCGTGGTGCACTGGGATGCGCTACTCAGGGGTGGAAACTGTGTCTGCGACTGTTAACCCCTCGGCCAGCTACCTGGGGGTTCGGCTAGTGCTCCTGTTAACCCCTTTGGGCAGCTACCTGGGGGTTCGGCTAGTGCTTGTGTTAACCCCCTTGGCCAGCTAACTGGGGGTTCGGCTAGTGCTTGTGTTAACCCCCTCGGCCAGCTAACTGGGGGTTCAGCTGGTGACAGGGAAGGTAACTCAGGAGACCTGCTATGTGAAAAACTGGTCCTTCACAGAAGCCAGCCACAGGCCCACTGTGGTGTGTAGGCCTGTCACACCAACACTCTGGGAGGCTGAGGCAGGAGGATCCCCACCTCTAACAACTCAGGGGAGGCCTTGTCTTAAAATTGGGAAAAAAAAAAAAAAGAAAGAAAGAAAGAAAGAAAGAAAGAAAGAAAGAAAGAAAGAAAGAAAGAAAGAAAGAAAGAAAGAAAAGAAAGGAGCTGGGGATGCAGCTCAGCGTGAGAACACCGGGTCTGATCCCTAGGACTGCAACCAATCAATCCATACAAAGCTGGAAAACATCAGCAAAGACCAGCCTGACCTTGCAGCTGGACATCCCTGCAGCTGGAGCCGAAGGCAGCAGCTGCAGCATGAGTGCGTGATGCAGCTGAGCCTGGTGCCAGCAGCCCACCTCCCTGCCTGCCTGCCTGAGCTCCGCAGGCATGCTCCAGGCCGGGCAGCTCCGGCGCCCCTCCCTGCCTTGGCTCCCACTCTCCTCCTCCCTCAGGGCCCAAGTCAAGGCCGGCTGCTGCACCTGTCTGTACCCGTGGGCAGGTCCTGCCTGGGAAACCTGCAGCTGTAGCCAGGGAGGGCGGGGCTTGGCCTGGAACCTGGGGACTCCAGGCACAGGGTGGTGCTGCCCAGAGGAGTGCCAGGTAGACGCCTGGACACCTGTCCTCCTCGGCATCTGGCACATGCAGGCCGCAGCATCCACCTGCTCCCTGTGGGATAAGACAGAGCAGCAGGGGGTGGGGGTGGGGTTCAGTATTTTTGTTCGGCCCTGGGTTTGAACACATGGCCTGTGCACTGGGCGACACCCCGCCCTTTTTCATTGTTAGTGCTGAGGAGGGTCGTGCTGAGTTGTCCAGACTGGACTGCAACTGCAGTCCTCCTGCCTCCACCTCCCAATGTGCTGGGGTGCCGGGCGCACTCTAGCCAGCCCAACCAGCACAGGGGCTGCATTTCATGGGCCCTTTAGAGCCATCCTGTCCAGTTCTCCACATTTCCTGCTTTCTATGTCTGTGCAGAGTTCCACAGAAAAGGAACAGCAGGAAGGAGCCCACACTCTGGCTGCAGCCACCGTCTCCAGGACAGGGCCTGGGCCTCCCTGCCTGGAGTCTCCAAGCTGCGGGGGACTTCCCAGCACACTGGCTGGGGGCCTGCTGTTCTGCTGCAGGGTGACGAGGCACCTGCTCACAGCTAGAATAAGCCTGCACGTGCCCAAAGGTCACCAGGGAGGCACTGAGTCTGGGTGTCCCTGCTCTTGTTCAGGCTTGGGACTGGGGCCTCGGTGCCCAAGGAGCCTCCCGCCTGGCCCTGTGCTGCGTCCTGCCCACCTCTGCTACCTCAAGGATGGGGAGCATCTGCCCCAGCAGCCGAGCATCCAGCCTGCACATGGTGTCCTTGTCCTCTGCCCAGAGCAGGAGCCTGGGCTCCATAACCAGCACCGTCCACGCTGCGCCCCATTCAGCGACCCTTGCACAGCACACAACCTGGCCCCCTGAGCCAGGTTCACGTCATGTACAGAGGAGGGTGCACTCTGTGCTGGGAAACACAGAGCCTTGGGAAGGGGCTGGGCTCCCAGGTCGGTGCTTTCCACTCCACCCACTGCCAGCGAGCGAGCGGAGCAGAGGCGCAGAGAGTGGCCTTGCAGCTAAGGGACAGGTGCTGCCCACCACAAGTCCCTCACACCTGCAGGTCTGACTGCAGGACCCTGCTCCCCTGCAGCCGGGGGCTGAGGAAACACGACGTGCGCTATACAGACACGACAGGGAGAGGTGAAGTGTGCCCCTCCTGGAGCCCTCAGAGTGGGGTACCTTTGAGTGCTGGCCTGCAGGGAGAGGGACAGAGTGAAGGGAGGAGGAAAGAAGGAGGACAGGAGGAGGGAGGCTACTGGCTGCAGTCTGACACCTCGCCCCAGGTGTCCCCCGGCCCCCAGCCTGCTGCTCCTACGGTGCCCCTGCGGGTCAGGGTAATGGTCCAGCTAGAGTTCTGTCCCTGCTGCCCACTCACCTTCCTCAGCCTGGCAGCACCCGAGCCTGAGCGGATGGCATCCAGCAGGGCCTGCCGTGCATCTGCTGTGTCACCCAGGGGTCCTGGGCCGAGCCCAGGTGCGGCCCGGGGTGCAGGAGAAGCCTGGGGGGCTGGCAGGGGCAGAGGTGCTTCAGGGAGCACAGAGTCCTGGTAGCCACGGAGCTCTGCAGAGGCCGAAGAGGACACCTGGCAAGGAGATAGCGACATCAGGTGACCACAGTGAACTGGTTCAGGGCCAAGGTCACCTTGAAATCCACCTGCCAGGTACGGTCCCTTGTGGGTCCTCACAGGAGAAGGTGGGGCGGGTGCCACCCCAAACCAGGAGGGGCCTCACTGGAGCCCCGCCTGCTAGCTGCAAGCTGGTGGGGCTGTCACAGCTCTGGACACACGGGGTAGTGACTGTGTCCCCACGGGTCCCTCCTAGGACACAGCCCTCAGCTGGCCAGCTGGCCTGGCCTCGTGCATCTCCTCTGCTGTGGGCTCAGGACGTCTCTGAGGGCATCAGGGTGTAGACACCTGCCCCTGGCTGAGCTGCCTCATGGACCACAGGGCCACACCACCCTGGGCCACCCAGGACTCAGATCTAAGTTTCCCCAGCCAAGGACAGAGGTGTCTGTCTGGTTCTGGAGACAGGAGACACCCAGCACCACAGAGCGAGTAGGCCACTTTGTCTCGCACACCCTGTGCTGGCCAGGGGCCACGACCTTCCTGGACCCCACATCACATCAGTCCCAGAGCTGGCGCTGTCCCTCGGCCACCACCCCCAGTGCCGCTGTGTCTGCAGGGGCAGTGCTTGCTCTGGCGACTTTTGCCATCAGCATCTGCCCAGCTGCAGGGGAGGTGGGCAGCCCCCGACCCGCACCCCTGGGGGCCCTTACCTTCCTCAGGCCACGGCTGCCGCTGTGTCCCCGGATGGCCGCCAGCAGGGCTGAGCGCTCGCTGTCTGCCTCTGCGTAGGACAGTGTCCGGGACCCACGCTCTGCAGGGGGCTCTGCTGCCTGAGGGGTAACAAGATGACTCAGCGCACCACAGAGCTCCCAGATGGCCCTGAAGTGTGCCCGATGCCCTGCTTTCATGGGTGGTGCAGCTGCCTCTTGGCACTTTTTAGTACGTTGGGTCTCAGATGGTGATTTTTGCCCAAGCAGAGGCCACAGCAGGCTTCTGAGGACAGTCACGGCAGTGCAGTGGGCCAGGCGCACAAAGGTCTTCCTCTTCTTCTCCCTCCCTCTTCCTGCTTTTCCGTTTTTTGTTTGTTTGTTTGTTTGTTTGGCAGCTCTGGGTTGGAATCCAGGGCCTTTGCACTGGGCTGCAGCCCCAGCCCTTTTAGGAACTTTTTAAACTTTGAGATAGGGTCTCATTAAATCACTAGGTTGCCCAGACTGGGCTCTAATTTGTGAGCCTCCTGCCTCAGCCTCCCAGAGACCTGCAATAACGCTGTCCCCGCACCCTGGAAAGCTCCTTTAGGCCTGCCTGTGCTTCCCCCTCCAGGGCTCCTGGGTCTAGCTGGACAGTGAGCCAAGGAGAGGTGGGTAGCTCCTGAGGTATCTGTTCGGGCCACACCAAGGACAGCTGCCCGGGCCAGTGCCACACTGTGCTGAGGCCCTGCGGACTCGGGTGAGGCGTCCACATCCCTATCTTCGTGGGCTACCTTGGGCCAGCCACTTGGCCTCGCGGTGCCTCAGGTTCCCCACCCTGATGACGCTGGTTTAGCAGGAGAGTTCAAGCCCACATGTGGATGGGAAGCGCCACAAACTCATTCCTGCAGCAACGCAGAAGTGCAGGGTCCCCAACGGCAGTCCCCAGCTGTGGAGCTGTGTTGCCCTCCCGGGCCACATGGGACAGGGTCCCCCGGAGACCACAGAGAGGTGGAGCGATTCCCACCACCCGGGGGCAGCGTCCTTCTCCCAAGGCGGTACTGTGGCCTTGCCTGCCCCACAGGTCCAGGGTGACCAAGGAGGACAGACCCCATTGTGGACTTCGAGGGACAGAGCCAGTCTACAGCTGGTGCTGCTGGCTTCGCCTCCAGTCTCCTGCATCGCCTGACCTCTATCTCTGTGTCCAGGTGGGCTCAGGCTTGGCGGTCGGCACCACGGCAGAGCGGCCAGCAGTGAGTCCTTGTCGCGCAGCCTGCAGTGACTGTGTGGGGAGGCCCCCACCCCTCCACTTCCTGTCCACCGTGTGCTGCCCTCTGGAGCTCAGATGTCCTCAGAGCCAAGTGCTGAGCACTCAGTCCTAGGCTTGGTGTCACGCAGGGTGGGATCTCTAGGGGGCGGGGCCTGGCGGGGAGGGCATGGCGCTGACCTCAAAGAACAGTGGGGAGCTGGTCTCCCTCTTTCTGCTCACTGACCATAGGAGTGGCTGGCTTGGCCTCAAGCCCCAGTGTGTCCCTCACCCTCACCAAGTCCCTGGGGGCCAGGGCCGGTGGATGCCGGACCCGCCCCTGCCCCCCTCCTTGCCCACTCACCTTGCGGAGCCCGTCCTTCCCACCAGCCGCGTGGATGGCCTCCATCAGGGCGCTGTGCAGGCATGTGTCCTTTGGCACTGGCCTCTGGACCACGGGCCTGAATTTTTTCTTTGGCCCAAAAATGCTGGATGGGAAAGAGCCCTCCGGCTCGCTCATGGCCTCAGGGGCAGTGCTGGGACTGGCCACTGTCTCCAGAACAATGTGGCAGTGTGGGGGCTCTGGACCCCACCCCGAGCCGTTGGCCAGAGTCCCGCTGGGTGCCAGTGCACGGGACACATGTGCAGGGACCGGATGTGCCCCGTCCAGGGTGCGTGCAGGGTCGGAGGCCATGCTGGCTCTTAGGGCGTGGGACACAGGCTTCTCCCAGGGGCCACAGCTCTGACTTGTGGACCTGGGCTCCCTCCAGGAAGTGCGGCTTGGGGGTGAGCAGGGCTCTCTGTGGACGGGGGCAGGGCCATCCTCGCCCCCAACCAGTGGCATTCTCTGTGGGCTGCCGGCCGCCCTGCTGGGCCGGACACTGCCGGGCCCACGGGTGCCCATCTGCCAGGTGCTGCCACTCTGTGGCTCGGAGTCCCGGCCAGGTGCTGCATCTCCTCTGGCAGCCAGGGTCTGTGTGGGTGGCTCTGGACACCGGACCTCCGGTCCCTTCTCCATATCGCTGTGCGGCCTTGCGGCACTGGCAGGGGCTGGCACGGAGCCTATCCGCCGGGCGATGGCCGAGGCCACGTGCTGGCTGGACGTCCTTCTGTGCGGCCTGAGGAATGGGACCTCTGCCGTGCTCACCGCTGGCCCCTTCTGACCTGCAGCTGCCGAGAGCGGCCGCCCACGAGCTTGTGGGACAGCGGACACCACTGGGGCAGGGCTCGGCTGAGGTAGCTTTGCCAGCACTGGAGTGGGGGTGGCTGTGGTGGCGGCAGTGGTGGCCGTGGGTGTCCCCCTGGCTGCCGAGTGCCCCGTGGGCTGACCCGGGGGCTTCTCCGTAGACCCTCGCCTCCAAAACTCTTTCACCTTCCCAAGAGGCTGGGTCTCAGTGTCAACTCCAGGGGGCGAGGGCGCGAATGCCGCCCTGCTGCTGCCCCCCTGGGGGTTCACCAGGTTTCCTAGCTCGTCGATCTCAATGGCGCCCACGGACAGGGATGCACCGCGGTCGTAGCACCGTGCCTCCGCCCTGGGGGGCACGATCTTGTACGTGGTGAGGCCGTGCTTGAGCCCATAGCTGCCCGCCACTGTGTGGCCTCGCTGACACCAGGACGGGGCCCCCGGGATGCTGTCTGGCCCTGTGGTCTCTGTGCCCTCCACTCTCCTCAGGGCCTGCGTCCCCTCTCCAGGAGTGGAGCTGCGCATGCTGCCTGGCTCCTTTACACCTGGGTCAGCCATGGCAAGCTTCGTGGCCAGCGAGGCCACACTGGGCACCATCCTGGTGGCCTTCCCACCCTGGACTCCTAGGCTGGTGTCGGTGTCACGGGGCGGGGTCTCTCTCCCCTGGGGCCGGTCCTGCGAGGCTGCACACGTGGCGCCCACCGTGCTGGGTGTGCCCGCATTGCTGTTGCTGTTTGACACTAGCATCACATGCCCAGGATCGTCCCCAACCTCCCCGATGAAGGTCACCGGGATGGCGTCGGTGCCCATGTCCACGTCCACACCGTCCTGTGCATAGTGGCTCCACGTACCGTTTATGGAGTTAGTCACAGAGCTGGAGTCTGTGTCGTAGCTGTCCTCCATCTCTGCAAGGGATAGGTGCCAGTCAACAGCCTGCGCCGCGGAAGCGATCCCCACCCTCAGGGAGCAAGCCCGCAGCCTCCCTGCACTGTCTTTCATGTCTGTGACAGGGCGCCTGGGAGAGTGTGGCTCTGGGTTTTGTGGCCTGCGGGTTCCCGGAGCCAGAGCCTTGGCTTCCACAGTGCACCATGGGAACCCTCTGCAGACCAGGGCGGTCCAGGGCCTGACCGGGAGCCAGAACCTCCTTTACCTTCATGGGGCCTTTGGGGGACAGAGCACGGCCCTCCGCTGGAAGCACGCCCCACACGTGCACTGAAGTCACCTGTCTGCACCTGCCCTGGCAGCACCACTCCCCACATGGGGGCTGGGGTGGGCACCACAAGCGGCCTGCTGTGGGCCAGGGCCGTGCGACGCCCCAAGACATGCACCACGCCCTGGCAAGTGAGCAACTTATCTTCCCGAGGCCGCTGTCTACACCCAGGCACGGCAGGGCCCGCGGGAGGCTGAGGTAGAAGGAACGAGACTCCAGACCACCCTGAAGTACGCAGGCACTCATGTTGGAAAATCAAAAGTGAGGACCTTGCTTCTTTTTGTGCCAGTCTGTGTTTCTTCAGCTATTTGAGCATTCTACAGTGTCTTGTGGTGCGTGTAAAATTCTTTTTAAGGTATAGACAGAATCAGTATTTTGAACCAGCAGGCCTAACAGCGCCGCTGTCACACTGAGCCACCTCCCCTACTTTTTTATTGTTCATTTTGAGACAGGGTCTCAGTTGCTGAGTTGCCCACGTTGGGTTCAAACTCATTCCTCCTGCCTCAGCTTCCCAGAGTGCTGCGACCCTGGCCCACAGCGACGCGGGTCTCCCCCGCCTCAGCGCCACACCACACCGCACTGTGGCAGCACACGGCAGGTCTACTCACCGTCCTGGCCTCCGAGGGCCGCTGCCTGGGCGCTGTAGAAGTGCGAAGTGCTGAAGAGGTCCCCGTCGGTGGAGGTCACCACGGCCACCTCGCTCCTGGGGAAAACAAGGAGACAGGGGCCGCCCACACCGGCTCAGGGAGCTGCTTCCTGGCCAGGTTTGGGAAGAGGTGGCTCAGGTTCGGCTCAAGGAGTCCCACACTCTGCAGGCCATGTCTTTAGGGCACTTAGGCAGCCACAGAGGACCCTCACAGGAGAGGACTCCGGAGCTGCTTCAGAAGGGGCTATCAGGCAGGCGAGAGCGTGCAAAGGGAGGCAGAGGATTGGGGGCTTCAGGGCAATGTGCTTTTGCTATAATAAATGTCTTCTAAAATTTAAACATTTGCCTTACATTTCACTCATAGCCCATGTGTCAGATGTGTGCACACAAGTGTGTGCTAGATATGGCATGAGTGTGGTGTCGGCGATACACAGTGTGCATGTGTTGTGTGTACACGTGGCCCTTAATGCCAACCGTACCACACACAGATTCTGTCCACCTGCAAGGTGACGTGTGCCTCATCCTGCTGCGCAGTGGGTTTTGTTTCTTCCCCAGACTGCAAAGCACCTGGAGCTGGTCGTTGGAGTGGCACCCGGAGCCCGGGTGGCACCTGTGCAAGTTGGCCAGGTCTCCTGGGCCGTGGTCAGTGACCCTGAGACCCAAGGTGAAGGCTGCAGGCTGGCCCTGCTGTGAAGCCTGTGGCTGGGAGAGCGGGCAGGCACGAGGAGGCTTTCTGGCCGCCGCACAGCACCAGCTCACGCAGCGTCTGCGCTGCACCCTCGGCACCTGCCTGTGCCCTGAACCCCGAGGGTGGCCTGTCCTCAAGAAGCAGTCTGAGCTGTGTGCCCAGGCTGACATCTACACAGGGGCACTGGGATCCGACCCTGCGGAATCAGGTACCCAGCCCACCATGATGGAGGTGACAGCAACTGAGGACAGCGCCCTCCCTACTGCACGGAGAGCCTGCAGGAGGCCTGCAGCTGTGGCCTGCCTGCCTCACGCCTGCCTGAGCAGAGTGCCAGCGCACATACCGGCTTGCTGTGCTCCTCCAAAAGCACGCAGGGTGGGCGTGTGGGCACCAGCACCGCAGGGGCGAGAGATCACGCACAGAGGAACCAACAGCTCCCGCAGCATCCACAGCCAGCCCCTGCCCCATAGCCCGCCCAGCTGCCCAGCCAGGTGCTGGATCTGCTCGGTGACCAGTGGCCAATGTAGTCCTGGGGCATGGAGGGAGGTCGCTGGAGACTGCAGCCGTCCTGCAGAGAGTGGGCTCCCATGTTGTGCGCCCCGGGACGATGCCATGTGCGACACAACTGCTGCCAAAGCAACTTGGAAGCTGCAGCTGCAAGGGCGCTGGCCTGTGCTCTCCTGTCGGGCAGGGAGCCCAGCACAGCGTCTCCAGTCTTTAGTGAGAGCCAAAGTCTCCTTGGCCGGTAGTTAAACCAGAACTGATGTGGGTCCCTGGTCACTGGGCCCAGACAATGGCTCAGGACCATGGTAGGCATAAGGTCTCCTGATGCAATGCTGTCTCCATCTGGATAAGTGCATCTTTCTCTCTTAGGGACTGTGTCCTTTGGGAGCCAGGAAGTGGCCCAGGATCCTTGGGAGCCCAGGATCCCTCCCCACTAGCGTCCTTTGTCAGGCCGGCCGGACAAAGGGGCTGGCTGAGGGTGCACGTGTGTGGGGGCCGTGGCTTCAGGCCGCAGAGCACATGGCCGCCAGCCATTCTGCCCTGGGACCGGACTGGCTCGAATGCATCTTATGGAGGCCTTTTCTTCTGCGTGGACTGTGGCGCTATGAGACATTTGTGATTAAATATCTAATAAAATAAACGGCACAGGGAAATACAGAAACTGACAGACAAAACAGTGCTGGAGATAGAAAACAGAGAACTCAGAGAATGCTCATCCTTCACACCGGGTGAAGGGCCCAGCTACACACCACGAGACACACACTTCTACATCAGCACGTGTCTTCTGTCACACGATGCTGGTCACATCATTCTAGGGATGCCAGAAATGAACAGGAATTGGGCCCTTGTCATGGCGGCCCAGGGGAGCCTCAAAGCCTCACGAGGTCCCACCTGGGACTTGCTCAAAGGTGGCTGAGTGTGGAGTGCGTGGAGCTGGGGTCAAGGGTGTGAGACCTCGGGTGGGAGCTGTGACAAGGCGTAAGGGACAGAAAGGGGCTGGCTGCCCGCTGGGTTGCTGGCCCTTGCTCTCTCCCACCTGCCACAAAGTCTCTCTCTGCTGGGACGCCCTCAGCCACGTCGCCTGCCCTGGACAAGCTGGCCGTGGGCTGGACCCTCTGCACGCTGCAAATGGCAACCCTTCCTTGCCTGACTTGTGGGTGTCAGGTGCTTCATCTCAGGAAGGCAAACGTGGAACAGATTTAAGACGCTACTTCCACTGATTTTGTAAATGCTTCACTAGAAATTAAATGGTGAAATAAGAAGTTGTCCTGGACCAACAAAGGCGTGATGAATCAGAAACACAGTGCTGCTGGCTTTGACTCGAGAGCTGAGCCACAGCACACAAACGGCGCTGCACTCTGCCAGCGGCTGGAGGCCTCGGCCTCTATTTTAATAACTTGGCTAGAGAAAGGAAAAACCTAACATAACATGGATACAAAAGAAGTGGCATTATTTATGCAATGGGACATTGCTCAACTATAAAAAAGGTGAACTTGAGGCTTTTATATGCAAAGGGGTGCAACTAGAAACTGCTTCCGAGTGAAACAGCAGACCTGCCTGTGCACACAGCAGGCACCGGGAAGGCACAATAGGTGCTGTGCACGGGACAACATCTGTTCAAAGGAAGGAACAACTGGGACGAGGAAAAAGAGAAAAGAAGGAAGGAAAGGAGAAAGAAACAGACACGCGTGTACACAGGACAGCTTAGACAACTGTACTGCCGATTTCTGCTGATCTACTGAAAAGAACAAAGAATGCTTAAATTTTTTTTAATTTTTTGACCAATTTTGCATGCTTATATCTGGTAACCTGAGCAAATGATTTGAAGACAACAATGTGCAATATACAACCACTGTGGAATTAAAAAAAATTTTTTTAAATGACAAGAACTGAACAGCCTTCCATGTTTTTATATGAAGACCCTAAAGCCCGAGAGCGCAGCAGAAGCATGCAGTGTTTTACAGCGGTAACCATGACAACCACGAAGTGTGGGCAGAAGGCCAGGCTGAGGCTTCATCTGTGTGATGTTGGGAAATAGCAGGTCATGTGACTAGAGGTCAGACAATTACGGTGGCATGGAGGCACCCAGTGCTCTGGGAGGCTGAGGTGGGACAACTGTCACTTGGGGCCCAGCCCAGGCAGCTTAGTGATTTAAGGGGACCCTATCTCAAAATAAACAGTATCTTTAGACCATAATGATAAGAGAACTATCAGATATAGGCAGTTAAATATCACCTGGTCTTTTATATGAGAAACCCAAAGTGTGCATAATTTAAAGAGCAAAGTAAGAAAGAGATGACAAGAGACAGGGCAGGAGGCCTTTTGTGGATGGAGGGGACCGCAGGGTGCGTGTGAGGAGAATGAGACGGGAGAGGTGGTAGTAAATAACAAGGAATGGGTGTGACTGGTGCCCATGCCAGGCGCCTCAGTGACGGTGTGCATCACGAACAGCCAAACGGCACTACTAGAACTAAGAAGCAATAATGGGCTGGGGATGGAGCGCAGGGAGGCGCCCTGGGTTCAGGCCCCAGTACTGCTAGAAAAGATAAGAAAGGAGAAGGACAGGAAAGCGCAGGGCGTGGACGGTCAAAGCAGGTGACTTACTGAAAAGAAGGAGTAGGGCTGAGGACTTCACCCTCACATTGCACAGTTCCAGCTCCTGGTCGGGTTCTTTTCGTGGACACTGACAGTAGAGCAGTGCTCGGGACAGGGCGGGACACGCTTGCGTCCTTTTGAGGAGTCTCACTTCCACCACCACCTGTGTGGCTGCTGCCTGAGGAGCGCCTCTCATCCCAAGTGTGGAGTCTGCCCGTAGGCCTCCTGGAGCGCGGGGTCTCCCGCTGGCAGGCATGGGGGCTCCGGCTGGCTCCCACCCTCTAGACTGGGCTGGCGTGTCCTCACCCTGGCCCTGGGCCTGTGTCCTCACTGCCTGCCCTGCTCAGCCCCGGCAAGCTGTCCCCACGTGTCACCAGTCCACGTGTCACCAGTCCACTGGGGCTGCTGCCCTGGGTCTCTCCGCAGCAGGGCCGGGCCTTGCAGGGTGGGCAGCGGGCCCTGTGCAGCGGGCAGCTCCTACGGCTCATGTGCCCTGGACGCACCGTATGTGCTGTCCCATCCTGGCGCCAGGGCCCTAGTGAGTGGGTTAGGGAGCCACAGCGGTGCACCAAGCCCTCCGGTCCTGCCTCCAGAAGAAGGTGTGGAGCAGGTGAGAGCTGTCACCTGTGTGCTCCCTCCTCACTTTGTGCCACTACCCATTTCCTACAGGTCACCAGTGGGCTTCAAGCATCCCCTCCTTAAAGGCACCCTCAGCTCCTGGCTGGAGGGCAGAGCCCGTGTTCCCAAAGCCCCAAAGCTCGCTGCATGCAGGCCCCCTTCTGCCCCCAGGCCCCAGGCCCCCTTCTGCCCCCAGGCCCCAGTGGCTATGCTTTCTGTTGTGGCCAAAGACCTAGAAGACAGAAGAGAAACAGACGGGGTGCTGCTCTGCCCACTGGCCCTCCACAGCCGAGGGACTGAGGAGCAGGTGGCACTGCTCAGGGCCCGCTGCAGGGCTCCGGGGTGGCCAGCAAGGGTCGCAAGCCCCAGGGCTCTGCGGTACAGCTGCTGCTCAGGCACCTCCTCGGGGACTCAGGGTGGCCGGGCCGGGGTGATGGCCCCCAACCCAGGTGAGGGGACTGGCTCCCAGCAGGAGGCAGGCAGGAAGGCTCTCGGCTACTCAGCTACTTCCTGGAGTAGCTGCTCCCAGCCAGGCTCCAGAGACCCTGGGCTTTTGTTTTCACTTGCTAAGAGCACGTAAAGGGGGAATGGTGTGGCCCTTATCCACCTGCATGCGCGGAGTCTATGTGCTACGCCCGCTAGGGTATGCTGGACTTTTGTGTAGCTAAAGGAGTTTCTTATTGGGCGTGGTGCATACCCAGCAGGCCTACAATTCAGGGGGCTGAGGCAGGAGGATCACAGAGAATTTGAGGGCAGCCTGAACTACACACAGGGAGCCTGTCTCAGAAAACAGTTTCCTGAAGCAATGTACACAGCAGCAGTTAAGGAAAGACTGAGAGGGAGGTGATGCTGACCCGACCTACCCTGGTGACCTCAAAATGCTGCGGGGCTACTCGGCTACTTCCTGAAGTAGCGCTCCTGAGCTGATGGAGCTTCAGTCCTCTGGCACAAGGCACTCAATGCAGTGGAAGCCTACAATTTAAAATCTTGTAGTCGCATTTAAAAAGTGAAATAAAGTAGGTAAAACTAATGTCAGTTAAATATTTTAACTACTTCTGCATATAGTTAACTATTTTTCTCTTCTAGCGGATTTGGTCCAGATTTTACACTTGTCACCTATCAAGGGCTGGCCGCCTACGGGATCTGGGAAATAGTCACAGAGTCTCAGGATCTTCAAGGCTATTATGCTGGGGTTGGGGCTGCCATCAGTCTCCTGAGAAATACAAAGTTGCAGGGTCAGCCAGGAAATGTTTCTAAATCCCATCTACAAAGCTTCTAGGATTACAAAGTTTCCAGTTCTTGGGGCCATGGGATACAATAGTCCCGATGGCTGCTGGCTGCAGAGAGTATAGTGGTAGAAATGCATCCTGCCCTGTCTCACCTCCTAAGGTGAAGGCCAGTGGAGACCTGAGCCAGCAGGAGGTACAGTGAGTGGGGGTGAGAAGGGCCTGGGGTAGCCAGGCAGCAGGCAGGGCCTAGGGGCACCACAGTGGGTCTCTGGGGTTTCATTTCAGCTGCGTGGAAGGAGACAAATGGGAGAAGAGAGGAGAGGTAGGACAGATGAGGAGGAGCAGCAGCGGCAGCACCCTGAAGCCTCCTTGCACAATCTCACCTTGGCCCACGCTGGGCTGACAGCCCGGAGCTCAGCACCCAGAGAAGACGCACAGGAAAGAGCCCTGCGAGCGGCCTCAGAGGGCAGCACCAGCGACCGGACGCGGGCATTTGCAGTGAGGAAGAGGCTTCACTGGGATTTGCGGTGGGATGTTTTTTAATGTCTGAGTTGTAGTCTCCGGGTGGCCAGGGTGGCAGTCATACCCTCCCGAGTGGCAGGGCAGTCTGCTTCCTGCGTGGCGCTCGGGCACTGACCTGGCCCCTCCCAGCCAGCCTGCCCACCTTGTGCCAGCCTGTCCTGCCCTGCCCGGGGGGGGGGGGGCTCTCCTTTCCCGTTCCAACTCTGCAGGTGTGAACAGGCAGCTCTAGGAGAAAGGCACTCTCTTCAGTGAAAGACATGCTCTCCCCACACCCACACAAGGGGCATCTGCCACTGCCCTGAGAGTGATTTGTGGTAGCAGATGGCACAGAAAGGCTTTTCCCAAAGGCAGTTAAGAGGGGCACTCGTGCGAACGCATGTGGACAGCACCCCACGTGTGGGATTTCCAAGGGCCTGGGCAACCTCACCAGGCTAAGGCCATGTTGCAGGGCCTTCTCAAATGCATTCCTGGGCAGATGATTGCTGAGCAACACAGCATTCCACAGAGTGGTGGGGAGGTCTTGGACCCTGCCTGAGAGGGCACCGCTGGAACCACCGCCCCGGCCTGGTGTGCCCAGGTTGCCTGGTGCCTGAGTTGGCTGCCCACACTGGACGCCTGGGAGACACCACACAAGCATCTAGATGTCTGGCTTCTCCTTGAAACGAACCCCGTGAAAGCTGCGCGCGGCGGGGCAGCCGCAGGGTGCCCCATGCCCACTCTGGCTCCTCTTTGAAGTTATTAAAGTCTGACAGGCTGAAGAAAGTGAGTGCATCTTTTTGTAGAAGAATACAGAAAAAAAAATCTAGGACAATGGGGTTGTCTCTGAAGAAGAGAAATAAGCAAGTCCAGCGCAAGCGACCACTGGAATCACCCAACCCTCACAGAGTCTGACATCAGGTGGGGAAGGACCCAGACGGGGGACAGATTGCTCATTTACACCACACCCTAAAATAAACTCCAGGAAGAAAAGGGCCCCAGTGACAGCAAACAACACTGAAACATGTACAAGAAATCTAGGTCTCCTCAGAGCATTAGGGCAGGGGGCAGAATCTTGGGTACTCGTGGATTGCACACGTTGGAGAGACATGGGGTACCTTTGATGCACACACATTAAAAGCCAGTTATACTAAAACACAAAGCTAAGTTTAGGCTCTGGGCTTAGAGATGCTGCATGCAAATAACTGATCAGGGAGAAACTACTTAAAAAAGGAAAGTAATGTACAATTTTTAAGGTGGGCAAAAACTAAAAAAAAAAAAAAAAGGGCAGCCCATGAAAGAAGAAATCTGAGCTGTTAGTAAACAGACAAGATGACCATCCTTGCGGGTCAGACGACCAGTCGTCACAGCCGAGCAATGTGCCCTTGAAGAGCTCCGACTTCCGACAGCTCAGCGCTGACGCAGATGTGGAAGTCCAGACGCCACAGCCCGCCAAAGGGCTTCCAAGCTGCGCGAACCTGTTGGGCAGCACGCTGTCCACAGCCCACGAGGCTGGAGATGATTCTCTCTGATGCTGTAATAATTTTCCTTCTAGAAAACTTCTCATGCATGAACAGATCTATGTCCAACTTCCTGACAGTTCCCAGTCCTGAAAAACTGGACCGACCTCTGGGCCCATCAGTACAGGAATGCTTAAACAAACGAACGATACCTATAATCATAGACAAGCCCCGAAAACACGCCGCAGAGAGAGGCATGCAGAGTATGGAACCCTTGGACACTTGTGCTCGGGGCCAAGACAAACACGGCACAGCCGCGCAAGTACCCGGGCGGCTCGGGTAGCTCGGGACTTGACTGGAGACAACCCCAAGCCAGGGCGTGGGCGCTGCGCCCTGACACGAACCGGCCAGGGCTGGGGCTCCCATCCCACCTGCGCCTCGCTCACCTTGGACAGGAGCTCGTGGAGCAAGACCTCTCCCACAGGGGGCTCTTCTGGGGTCCTAGTTCTGGGGTCCCTGCGAGATCCTGGTCGCTGCAGTCTTCCTGGTCCGTGGCCCACTTATCTTTTGATTTCAAGCTATCGTGCTGGGAGTCCAGAGAGACGATGTCGGACGGGGAGCTGATCACCCCCGAGTCCTCCGTCGTGTCCTCCGACGCGAAGCAGCTGCCCACGGAGATGGTCTCCTCGGCCTCCGAGGGCACCGCAGGGACGCCGTCCACACTGCCGTGGCCGCCAGGACTCAGGGGCAGGCTCACTGCACGGGACACAGCAGGGACAGGTGAGCACAGGCCCCGCCTGCCCCAAGCCACCACCCTGAGCACATTCCAATAGACTGGCTCCTCCGGAATGCGGGCTGCAGGGAGCTCCACGCACGCACGCATGTACGCACGCATGTACGCACGCACGCACTCACGCATGTACGCACGCACGCACGCACGCACGCACGCAGGGATCCCGGTCTCCAGGACAAGGGCTTCACCCGGGAGCCCTGTGCGCCAGTGCAGCTGAGAGCTAAGGTGCTGCTCGGGCTGACTGAGTGCATTCGTGCCGTGACTGCGTCCCTCACAAGCAGGCAAACGCGCTGAACGCGCAGCCTGCCAACACGGTGGGTGCGACTGCTGCTAGTCTGAAGGGGTCGCGTTGGCTTCCCTGCAGTCGTTTTAAAATAATCCCTTCAGCCCGGCACTCGGCGAGGCTGAGCCTGCCCTGGGCAGCTGAGCGCTTCACAATGAAAAGTTTGGAAAAAAGGTCGCAGCTGTAGCTCAGTGCCAACCAAAGTCCTGAGTTCGAGCCCCAGGATCGCCAAAAAATGTTTTTTAAAAATATAGAAAAATGAAAGTTTTTTAAAATAAGAAATCTAGCAGTAATCATTGTATGGGAACTTTGGACAGTCTGTGCTGCTGTACGGCTGTTAGCAGACTGCATCGTCGGGAAATGCGCGCTTGGCTGCCGGCGCTCAGCGCACCCTCGGTCTTCTACGTGAGGCCTTAGAGTTGGTGCGAACAGGAGCCTGTCTTAGGAAGACAGCCCTGGGTAACACGCAGAAGCCGTCTGCCTGTGCCCGAGGCCCGTACTGGTGGGATCTGAGCAGCAGGAACCACGAGAGGCCGCCCCGGTGTGAACATTAGCGGTGGGCGCTTGCGTGGACCCCGGGGTGCAGAGGACGTCTGCACGCTCTCCAGAGACACCCGGGGAGGGTGCAGTCACCCTCAGGGCGCAGGGTCCTGAAATCACAGGATGGCACCGTGACCCCCAGGACACTTCGTGACACCCATTTTCCACCCAGACAGCAGACAGACAGCACGGCACGAACAAAACCAAGAGAAGCCCCCGCACTGCGGCTTACACGAGCTCCCCAACAATGAACAGGAGGACAAGCACTGGGGAGGACACACGAGTCACAGCACAGCTCAGAGGAGAGACGAGGTGAGCGGGGGACAGGCGGACACGTGGGATGCAGTGAGCCGTCCCAGGGCGAGGTCACCCACGTCACACATTTTGTAATACTTCTGTCTGTGTTTCCTGTGGACAGTGGAACCACACGAAAAAGATCACATGGCTCCAAGTCCCTGGGCAAGCAGCGCAGCCATTTCCTGCCTGAACCTGGACAGCACAGAGACCACGCTGAGCCCGGGCTGCACTCAGGGCGGCAGCTCATGACCCGGTGGCTGCAGGAGGGACAGGCCCTGCGCTACGGGTGGAGGTGAGAGGGCCCAGCCCAACAAGCTGGGCTTGCCAGTCATGCCGCTGGGATGAGAGGCGGACATGCCGCTGCAATGACATGTCGGGCAGGTGGGTGGCCAGTCTGGGGAGGGTGTGCATGTAGGAGGTGACGGGCAGGTGCCAGTCAGGGTGCTCCCTGCCCTGCCTCTGCACGGCCATCTCTGGAATGGGCCCCCTTCCTCCCACCGGTGCTCAGTGAGGCAGGTGATGAGGCCACAGTGGAGCATCCGCCCAGCCCCCACCTGCTCCAGGGCGCCAGAGGAGTGAGGTGCAGGGAGGTGGAGGGGCACAGGGGTCCAGGCCCTCTTCCCCGCTGTCCCTCCCGCTGTGCGGTCGTGGAGCACACCAGGGTGTTTTGAGATCGCTTGCAAGTTCCTAGGTTCAAAACGGCATGAAGAGACTGAGAGCCAGGGTGCAAATCAGGGCGACTGCAAGCCTGAGGTCAACATGTGGTGAGGCTGGGCTTGGCGTGGTTGGAAAACACTGTGGACCCCTTCAAGCCCAACACTCATCCCGTCCTGGCCACTGTCTGCAGCAGCGCCGCAGTCTTCTTAGCTGGGTGTCTATAGCTGCGCTGTCCTGGCTGCTCAACGTTCTGAGTGGATTCAGACGGTTCCCTTTCGTGGCCACCTGACTTGGGGGGAGCCTACAGGACAACTGAAGCCCCTCAGGAAAGAGGGCTCCAGAGCTGCTGCAGACGGCAGCCAGGACGAGGGCCTGGGTGTGCGCACGTGGGGGGGGATTTGGAGGGGTGGTCACGTGCTGTGGCTTGCACCATGACACATTTTCAGATTTTTGAGAGTAATTAATACACATTCGTAGCACATATGATGCCCTCCCTCGTGGGGAGTTGGCACAGGCACACAGCACACCCCTTCCTCTGGATTGAAACGTTGACCGTACTGTTCAACCCCCTGCACACGCTCGGCACACACACGCGGAGCACCTGCAAAATAGCAGTGTGGGTGCCAGGCCGCAGCCACCCCTGCCCAGCAAGCCAGCAGCTCCCAGCCCCAACAGTGTCCCACAGGCCCTGCTGGCTTCGCCTAGGGTCATGGCGCCCCAGGTTCACAGCCCTGAGCCCACAAGCACAGGAGAACATGCCACCAGTTCAGTCACCAGGTCTGGGGTTCTGAGCCCTCAAGGGCCAGTATCCACACTCGCCATAGCCCCTGGGGTTCCAGGACTCCACGACCTTGGGGCCGCAGACTGAAATGGGGGTAGCATTGAACTGGGATTCCAAATCCCACATTCAGGTCCCAGCAATGCTCTGAATGTTGGACAGCCTTTTTCCCTTCCTGTGAACTAAGTAAGTTGATCCTGATGAATTTTAGGAATTTTGGATCAAGATACAGGAAGTATACATTCTTGTGCAATTGACCGGTGACTAATCAGGAATCTGAGAAGACACACAACATACTGGGTGTGGCGGGGCATAGCTGTCTGTAGGCCAGTATTCTAGGAAGCTGAGGCAGGAAGACTGCCAATTTGGAGCCCAGCCTGAGTAATTTAGAATTTACTGACTCCCTATTTCAAAACTACAAATAACTTAAAAGGGGCTGGCAATTTAGCTCAGTGCAAAGGCCCAGCATTCAATTCCTAGTATGGTAGGTAGGTGGGTGGGTAGGTAGCTAGGTAGGTAGATAGATAGGTAGGTAGGTAGGTAGACAGATAGAACACAGCAGCCCTTCAGCCTTTCTGGTCCCTTCCATCTTAAGTTAATTAATATGCTGACAAGTTTGCTTTTCTTTTAAGGTAGGAATGACTTTTAGTTGTTGTTTTTGGCGGAACCGGAGATTGAACTCAGGCCCAAACGCTTATTTTACTGAGCCATTTTTTTTTTAAACTGAAGTTGTCACTGCAGGATTCTTGCAATGAGAAGGCCCACGTGCAGTGTGCCTTCAGTAGAAGCCTAACATGAACTCAGGCTCAGCTGTCTTCTAAATGAGTGGCCGCAGGTCTTACAGGACGACAGACTCTTCCTTCTTCCCCCACGTTACAGAACCCCAAGCTCAAGCACCCCTGCGTCCCAGTGGGAGCTCTGCAAAGTTCTCCTGACTCATGTAGGGGAAAGTGCTGAGGACCCCCTACAGGCTGGGGCGTAGGCAGCTCCCTCTTGGGTCACCACCAAGTAGGGATCGACGGTCCCTGCCTTATGAGGGCTTGGGCTGCTGTCTTAGTCACTGTCCTGTCCCCAGAACACAGTGCCTGGCACACAGCGTAAGGCAGGGCCCACTGATTCTGACCCAAAGTTTCAGGGAGGCGTGGGTCGAGGAAACACCAGGTAGCACAGCAAGGAGGGGAAGGTGGGGAGGGCGATCCAGCCTTCCGGGTCACACCCCAGGGACCACCCTACCCCCAACAGCGCCCCATTAATGGATCAACCTGCTGCAGAGTGCAGTGTCTCGAAATCCAAAGCCCCCCCTCTGCACACATATTCCAGGTCGAAACCATGGCTCTTCAGTGACTCCAACCCCTGCCGGTGCAGAAGTGGTAAAGCTCATCAGAGACTGTTTAGAATTTTGACCATGGTCAGCGCTGGCACCAACTGTGGTCTAAATTCTCTCGGCAGCTCCCAGGGGCCACAAGATCACCGAGGAAGCTCCACCCTCTGTGTCAGTGTCCAGGAGCGAGGATGGGGCAGCTGGCTGTTCGAGGTGTTGGTGCCTTCTGCCTGTGACATCCTAACCTGGCAGGCGTCTGTCAGGAAGCCCCCTCCCAACACACACACGGAGGAGCCTCCACACTCCTTCAGTGCGTTCCTTTTTATTGCTGTTCTACTCAATACCGACTGAAGGTCGCGTATCCTATGACACTGTTTTGCTGCTCATCACAAAAGGAGATTTCTCAAGAGTCTACTCCCCAGAAAGCATATTTCAAAGAGTGGCAGAAAACCTCCCCACGCTGCAGGAGTGGTGACAGGATGTGCAGGGCCGCCCTCCATGCCAGCGCACGGGACCTTGCCCTGTGTGCCGACACAGGGAGGCCAGGGCAGCCAGGCTGTACCACGCACCGCCTGATGCTTTGCAGGAATTCTGAAAGCCACGCTCCGTCTTGCTGCTTTGACCAACGTCTGAGCTTCCCTTCCTGAGTTCAGCTGGCAGCAGGTGTATGACATGAATATTCATGCTTTTGTATAAATGTTTCTTCACTTTCAGGGCACAAACCAAGGGACCTGGTCCCAGCACTGTCACACCAGCAAGCGCCGTGGAGAGACCTTTCGGCTGTGCCTCTTCTTTCAGCTTACTGTTTACCCCACCAGCAACAGAATCTCATCTTAACTGAAGTGCTTTACACTTGAGAAATTTTTTTAAGTCACACTTCTGTGTAAAATATGTGTATCAATTAAATTTCAGTGGTTATCTTTCACTGTAAGGCATTAGTGTTAAATTCTCTTTGTATACTGACTTGTCCTTGTGAGAGTTTACACATATACTTGTAACCTTTTTTTGAACGTATTTGGTGCAGGGTCTCACTACGCAGTTGGGACTCATAGTGGTCCTCCCATTTCAGCATCCCGGGCACTGGGAT